GTGCTCCTTTGAGGCAAGAACGGTGAGAGCTCGTCTTTGGGCACGTTGCCAGGAGGGGCCAGTCCTGGGAAAAAGGGGATCATACTTGGAAAGGCAAGCAAAGGGGAAGAAGGCCTTTAACAGGGTGGATTGACACCATGACTGCGACAATGGGCTTGAGCATTTCAGAGATGACGACGATGGCACAGGAAAGACAACTCACCACCATCTGATAAACTAGGGAGATCTGATGCTGAGGCCATGGCGTCCTGTGTTGCTAACTCAGAGGCCTCTGTGAGCTGAACCCCTAAGTGACTGTGTGGGAGAAAGATGGGCAGTTTCCTTCTGTTTACAGCCTTGGAAACGGGATAGTGGGTCACTAGATGTGGAATGGGCTCCAGGGCAGAGAGTTTGTGGGATTTTTAAGCTATGATGAAATATCAGTGTAAATGATAACCTTTCATCTTTCGTTCATAGGGTCATTATTATTTGTTTATGACTCAACGGCACCTAACAACAACGATGACGACGACAGAGCTCAGTTGGCCTCGTGGTTAGAAAATGATGCTAACAAACCGAAGGTGGGTGATTTTAATCTGCAGCCTTTAATTGTTCTTTTGTCAAACATTCTTCTACGTGGTATAGCGCTGGTCTGTGCATTGCTGTGCAGAGGTAACTCGTGGTTGCTGTGATGCTGAACACTGGGACACTGATGTGCCAAATGTGAAAACGGTTACCCATGGTGGACAGTGTTTGGTGGAGCTTCCCGATTAAAACAAGCCTGAAAGCAGGAGCGGCATCCACTTCTGAAATAACCTGCCTCCAGAAAGTGTATGAACTTGGAGAAACAACAAAAGTTATACAAGTGTTCAGGTCTTTCATTCGTAGGGTCGCTGAGTCATCTAACAATAACAACAAATTATAACCAGCCTTACTTTGTAATTAAGAACAAATTAGCTTGAGAGAGAGGCAGAAAGAGAAATTTTATGTTTCAGTAGAAAACTCTCGCACATCCTTATAAACCACTAGATTCTGCTTATGTTTATTGGCTTTGAATTCTTTTACCTCAGCAAGTTTTAGATCATTTTCCCCCCTTCGTACTTGTAAATTGGTTTAGCTTCTATCTCCTTACAAATCATCGACCCCTAACACATTCTCAACACCTCTTCTTTACTTCTATATCTTCCAACAACTCTCTAAAACCAGCATTTTCAATTTTTTTGCCCTCTCTCTGACTGGGAATCATGGAGAATTGAAGCCGGTCTAAAGAATATGTCAGTTTAAAGACTCAGGTGCTCTTGATCCCCGCCATACTACTTTCAGTTGCTTCCTATGCATCTGAGAATTGGACAATGAGTAAGGCTGACAGAATGTCTGCACCGTGGTGAAGAGTACCGAATATCCCACAACTGTTAAAAGAACAAGTGTGTCTTAGAGACAACGCACCCTCAGAGGCAGGGATGGTGAGACCTTATCTCCCACACGTCTGGGAAGTTAGGAGGCACCAGTCCTCAGAAGACAGTAGGCTCGGAAAGCTGGTTGTTGTTATGTGCCATCGAGTCGTTTCCGACTCATAGCGACCCTATGCACAACAGCTCTAAACCCTGCTCTATCCTGCGCCAACCGCACCGCCTCTGACACACCCATCCCGAATACCCCAGTCACCGAATCAATCCATCTCATAGAGGGTCTTCCCCTCCTGCGCTGTCCCTCCACCCTCCCAAGCATGATGTCCCTCTCCAAGGACCCGTCCCTCCTGGCAACATGTTCAAAGTATGTCAGACGAAGCCCCAGAATCCTTGCCTCCAAGGAGCAGCTTGGTTTAATCCTCTCCAAGATGGATCTGTTTGTTTTCTTGGCAGTCCAGGGTACACGGAAAGCTGGAGGCGCAGTGAAATAAAAGGCCCTCAACAAGATGGATTGCCACAGCAGCAATGGGCTCTCGTGGATCAGAGACGAGGAGGAAGAGGGCACAGGGTGGGGCAGGCTCCGGATCTGTTATTCATAGAGTGGCTGTGTCGTAGTCCACTCAGTGGCACCCAACAACTCTGAATCACAGACAACAGAAGCCTGACCTGTAGTATTTGCTGAGACTTGGCTACATTAGGTTGAGGCCTAGGGCCTTGCGATCTGCTCCTGTGTTCTGTCTCACTGTGGGCTGGTTCTCTGAGTCACGGAGCTGGTGCGCTAAGATGCTCAGAAGAGGCACTCGGGGTGGCAACGCCACCACCACCGCCTACTGTCGCCCATGGACAAACTCCACTACCAGTGCTGCATATTGATTTTCCTCCACTGGCCTTGTTGTTATTAGGTGCTGTTGAGTTGAGTACGATTCATAGGGACCCTGTGAATTAGATGAACCCTGTTCTATCCTGTGTCATCCCCACACTTCCTGACACACACGAGCCCATTGCCGCAGGCACTGTGTCAGTACACCTGGTTGAGGGTCTTCCTCTCCTTTACCGACCTTCCACCCTTCCCAACATCATGTCCTTCTCCAAGGAATAGCACCTCCTAACAACATGTCCAAAGTATGTGAGGCCAAGACTCACCGTTCGTGTCTCCAAAGAGCACTCGTTCTGCATCCTTTCTAAGACTTATCTGTTTGTTCTCTTGGCCATCCGTGGGATGTTCAGTGCTCTTCTCCAACACCACAGCTCAAAGGCATCGATTCTTCTGTCATCCTTATTCATTGTACAGCTCTCAGATGCAGAGGAAGTGACTGGAAAGACCATGGCCTGAATCAGATGTATCTTAGTCCTCAAACTGACATCATCACTCCCCACTAATGTGGAGAGGTCCCTAACCGCAGATTTCCCCAGTGCAATGTGTGTCTTGCATTTTGACAGGCACTCTGATTGCTTTGCTCTTCTAATATGCTTGTGTGTCAGACAGGGCTCTAAAGCTGAGCATCTAAATTAAGGCAGACTAGGGAGAAGGACTGACCATCCACTTCTGAACTAACAGGCCTTCGAAAACCCTGTGCACAGAAGAGCACTTAGACTAGCATATATGGCAACTGAGGCTGAGCCCTCCGGTTGGCAAATACAAAGCAGGAGGACGAGCTGCCAGCAGACACTAAGTGGGGTCACGGGGGCAGGGGTGTCAGAGACAGTGAGGTTGGCTCAGGATAGAGCTGCGTTCAGAGCTATTGTGCATAGGGTCACTATGAGTTGAAGTCGACTCGATGGCTCGTAACAACTGGTGGCACAGAGGTTAAAGAAGTCTATGATTAGGTATTATTTGCATGACAACAGTCCAGAATAAGGGGTGCATTGCAAAGTAGACTGGGGGGCAGGCACAAGCAAGGGGTAAATTATGCAACAAAGAATCTTGTTTAAAGAAAAAAGTGAACTGGGGTGGGGGTAGGGGAGAAAATGTGCAATAATGAACGAATGGAAATCCAAATTTTCTGTAAACTTTCATTAAAATATCAGTAATTTTTTTTAAGGTGTAGGACAAAAAAAAAATTTCAGCTGCTGACCAACAGGTCAGGTTGAACCCACAGGCAGCTGTGGGGAGGATGAGGAAGCCGTGCACGTCCCGTCATAAACTCCTCCCACAGAGCTCTACTCTTGATTATGGGTTGGCTGGCACCGCCTTGATGGCACTGGGGTTTTGTGTCTTCTGTTGGGAAGGATTGTTGCTGCTGTCAGTGCTGCTGACTCTGGCTTGCAAGTGACTAATTCTTTCTCCTGGTAGGTGTTCCTCTTTTCAGATGCCTGACACTAAAACAAGTGGCCTGCTTCTACCTCACTGATGTGTCTACTGATTTTGCAGACCCGCCACCAGCGAGAACCTCTGAGGTTGTTAAGGCCTCCTCTGGCCTCAGCAGACAGCCCTCCAGTGACAGAGGGGCAGGGCAGGGCACGGTTTCCACCTGCTGTTCACAGGGTCACTACGAGTCATAGTTGACTGGACTAGGAGTGACCTAACAGCACAATCCCCTCACGATGTCCCAGAATTTTCCTGTCATAAACAAGTGGGCTGACGAAGCTGAGTTTCACCTCAACCCTCTAAGAACCGACTCATTCTTCTGTTACGGAAACTGGCAGGGCTTACCGCGAGCTCCCCAGCTAAACACGCCTCGTCTCCCGGGGTCTGGGCCGCCTTGTCATAAACAAGGAAAACTTTCTCAGTAAAATCACCCTAATGGCAACCTCATCACTCTCCAAGCCCCAACTCCAGAATGCACCTCGGAGATCTTTGCCTCGCAGACTCTGGGTATGTTGCTAGGAGGGACCATCCGAGGAGAGGGACATCATGCTTGTAAAGGCGGAAGGTCAGCAAAAGAAAGGAAGATCCTCAGTGAGATGGACTGACGCCGTGACCGCTGCAATGGGCTTGAGCCTGTCAGGGATGAGGACGGCCAGGGATAGCGCAGGGTTCAGATCTGTGTTCACAGGGTCGCTGAGTCACCCCCCTCCCGAGAATTATGCTTCCAGCTATGACAGAGTAACAGCACCTGCCCTCAAACGGGATTGTGTCCTGTCCTCAAGTGGAACCGTGTACGTGAGGCGATGACTCTCAGGCCATGCAAGGCAGTGATTTCAGAGAGAGGAGCGCACCGGGGTGTCTGTGATCTCAGCCGGCATCCTTAGCCGGGGTGAGAATGGTGCTGGATGGGACAGGGTTTCCTTCTGTCTGTTCCACGCAGGGGTGGGGAAGGCAGGGCTGACTCCCCAGGACTGATGAGCAGGGCACATGGGGTCACGAGGAGTCAGAATCAACTTGATGGCAATCTACAGAGCTCAAAATGAGTCAAATGCAAAATAGAAATGTATATTTAAATAACCCTTTCCACACGAAGTAAAATTACTGGAGATGTTTATTTCCCTCTTTTTTTTTTTTTGTTTTTTTTTTTTGTTGTTGTTTATTTCCCTCTTAAGGTAATAACATGGCTGCAGAAGGTTCACTGACGTTGCTTCCTTCCCTGTTCCTGTCCCTTAAATTTGGCCACGTCCCAGGGTCATGTCGCAGCGGTCCAGGGTCAAGTCGCAGCAGCGCTGGCCTCTGCCAACCTACAGGCCCAGGGGCCACTGGACAGACGGGCTCCGCTCCTCCACTCCGGCCACCATGTCCTCGATGGCGGTCCAGTCGAGCTTGCTGAGGAGGCTGCCGGTGCTCTCAGAGGCGCTGTCCACGCCACTCACCCCGACGGGGGGCTCCGGCTCGTCCTCATCAGATGGCGACAAGCCCTAACAGACAGAGAGAGAGGAAGCTGTGGTCCAGACCCCCAAGAGAACATGCGGGACCTGAACTTGGCAGAGTGTCTGGAGTCTCTGGGCCCCGAGAAACTAAAGGATAAGGAAGCGGAAGGCTGGTGCTCGGGTACCTGGGTCAGTGGTGAGTGAGCTCATTGGGCTCGACAGAGCTGCGGAACGGGCCTGTGGAGAAGTCCTGCACCACTATGGGGTGCTGTGGTTCTCAGTTTTAAAAAAAAATACAAAGTAAGGAGAATTCTTAGAGAGAGACTCTGGAGTACTGGTCCAGGCAAGCAGGTGCCCTCAATCACATTTTAAACCTTCAGTATGTTTAGCGACATAAACACCGATAAGCAAACATAAATCATTACGCAGGCTGAAGCCTGGCGCGGCCTCACCTGCAGGAGGGAATCGCGGCTCCCGTGAAGAATTGCCTGGATTTCTGGAGGCAGCGTCCACGGGCTCACTACCATCTCCTCTCGCTCATACTCTGTGCACCCCTGCTGGCTTAGGGGCACCCGCCCAGTGAGCCCACGTTTTTCTGTGTGCTGAGGACTACGACACCGAGCGGGAGAACCTATTAAAAAAAGGGAAACGAACCAAGCGGGTGCTGGGATCGAGCCACTCATTTGTCCACTATGACTTTTACTGACAAAGCCAAGGAGTCTTTCTTGACCTAATATCTGAATTGTGGGGTTTGTGTGGTTCATGCTAGGCTCCTGTCATTGTGTGAGACAGAAATGGAATTCTGTCCTAATCTGATCTGAAGAATAATGACAACCTCAAGGACAAGGTCCAGAGAAGAGAAACCACAGACATAGAGATTGTGGAGAAACCTGATTTCAAAGTTGGTCACCTTGCCTCTTAGAATGGTCTTGTGAAAGCTCCCATAATGAAGTTTTCCTCCTTACTGTACATTAGTACTGATGCTACTTGTACTGGTTCTACTCACACAGGAAATCAGCTCGCTGGCCGTGGGTCTGGGGCATCTACAGACCTCAAGGCCACCATTCACTTTCCCTTACCTTGTGTTACTGGGGGATGCCTTTGTGATTACTTTCTCAGTTCAGAGTTTATTTTTCTAGAATTTTGGGGGGATATCCAATCTTGAGCTAAAAATAGGAAAAGAATTCTATGAAATGAAACACATGCTAAGATGCCCCCTATTGTGAACAGGGAAGCATTTTAAGGTGAAAGCTAACAGAGCAAAAGGAATCCCCAAGTCCCTGGGTTCTCTCTGGGGGAAGAATTCTTTCTGGCGTGGGACCGTGGACACGGTGACTCAGTTTCTCCCAATGTAACACCAGTCACTGTCCTGAGAATCCACCCTGAAGAATCCAAAACTCACCTACAAGACAGAATCCCTTCTCTACCTTGGCCATGTCTGAAGGAGAACCTTCTGTCCGGTAGTGGACGGTACAGTCTCAACAAAGCACCCAGCCACCTAGAGTCACACCCACTTTCTTCTGACATAGGGCTACCATTGGACAGTGCAACCAACTATCAGTGATGTCAGCGGCTGAGGCCTCATGCCAGATCCTACCTCTAGTTGACACTATCTTTGGAACTTTCATAAAAGTATATAACATAAATGTGCACATTTTAGAGGTTTATACAGGATATAATATTGTTTGGGGGGGAATTTTATCTATTGAATTAGACACTGATTGTATTTATTAGGAAAAAAAATAAAATAGAGTATACTATAAACAGAAAACATACTGTCTCCAAAATGAGACTTTGGAAAAAAGAAAACCAAGCCAACAAACAAGGGACAGCCATCAGGGGATCTATGAATTAAAATGCAAAATAGAAACAAAGAAAACAATGCTTCTAGAACTCAAATTGATCCTATAGCTCAGTGCATTAAACCTATAGTGCATATACAGAAAAGGGATAAAATAGAAATTCTAGCAAATAGTCATTTACAATAAAACTTGATAGATGACTTAAATAGGAGATTAGACAAAGCTGAAGATGTAAGGGTAAACTGGTAGATGAATTTGCAAACAAAGGAGGCAGGCATGAGAGAATTAGATACATTCTTTCATATTTCCCACTTTCATGGTGCATTTAAATCAGTGTATTTCTCCACCATCCTACCAAATTTATTTTCTTTTTTTTTTCCCCCCCAAATTTATTTTCTATAGCAGGGCCAACTGCATAGGCCTCGTGGGATTAATATGAAGATTAATAAGCGAATGGACGCACGTGTAACACAATGCCTGCCAGATGTGCCTGCCTCCTAAGTTCACTGTTTTAAGAGGTCTGGACAAGCCTCATAACTTCTCTAGGCCTCAGTGTCCTGAGCTGTAAAATGGGAACAGTAGTTGCCTTTGCCCACCTCCCACAGTTCTTATTCCAAGTTAACAGGGGAATGAATGTGGAAGACTTTCAGACTGTTAAAGAGAAACCAGGGGTGAGAAATAGAAAAGTGGAGATTTTAGGAATGAGGATTATTAGACTTCCTTCACTGGCATGGAGTGCTGGTGGGGCAGTTTGTAAGGAGGTGCACCGCTAACTCAAAGGCCCCTCTGGGGCTAGAATCCACCACTGGTTCCTCAGGAGAAAAATGGAGGTTCAGCTATGAGTCAGTCACAACTTGACAGCAAGGAGTGTGGAGTGAGTGAACTGAAGAGGTAACTTAGGTAAGTACGTACAAGGGAGCAAACTCAGGCTTAAAATCCCTGGCTGGTGTGCTGCACAAGTGTGTACGCAGAGTACCTTACTTAGTATCTGCACTTATGGTTATAACTGAGCCACATTTCACATCGTTTGTATTAGAACTCTTACTTTCAAAGTGAAAAATACCTAAGGCTTATAGAAATGGGTTAAGAATTTGCACAAGGCTACAGTAGGGAGTCTTAGTGACTCTCAGGGCTGTAGGGAGAGCAGAGAGCTCTGGTTGCTGAGTGATAAGGAGTTGCACTGTCAACCCAAAGGCACTTGGTTCAAAGCCACCAGCTGCTCTGAGAGAGAAAGATGGACAATCTCCTGGGATTTACAGCTTGTGAAACCTGTTGGAGGACCAGCTATGGGTCAGCTCCACCTCCACAGCATACAGTAACAACAATACAGAGTAAAGGGTGTATTAAATCTAAAGCCTCTTCTCTGAAATAATATGACCCAAGGCATACTCTTCTCTCTTATTCTAAGAGTTCTAAAGAGTGATTTAGGATTTTGTCTTAACTGTTTTGGTAACTCTGGTGGTGGAGTCCTTGGGAGCTTTGCTGGAAACCCAAAGGCACCAAAGGCACTGCCTCTCTGGAGGGTAGAAACCACCAGCAGCTGGGGAGAGAAAAGACGGGCAAGCTCTTCTCCTGTGATGATACAGCCTTCTTCCAAAACTCCGCTAGGGTCGGTTCTGACTGGGTGACAGGTGAGTTAATCTTAACTCAAGAAGTTCCTCCTCTTTACCCGACACTTACCTTTGTGAAAAATAGCCACAGAGTGCCCAGCAGCCCGCTGTGCTGCTTTGCTGCCATCAGCTTTTTTCTGGATGGTGAAAGTGGTAGTTCCTAAAAAGAGAGGCAAACTTCACTCTTCACTCTGCATACTTTATTATTATTATTTGACTATTCTTACTGTAAGTTTTTTGAAGACAGAATGTCTTGATCAACTCTGAATCTGTTCTCCCCAGCCCTGCTCGTAGCAGGAGACTTGTGTTGTTAGGTGCCCTTGGAGTCAGCTCCGACTCACGGAGACCCTCTGGCCAAAGGAACGAATCCCTGCCCAGCCCTGGGCCGCCCTCACCATCTCTGCAGAACCTGACTCTGCAGGTGCGCCCTCATGTCAATCCATCTCATTCAGGCTTATCGGCTCTTTCACTGACCCCTCAATTTGATCAATGGACTAACAAACAGCTTAATGAGAACAACAAGGCAAATCAAAAGCACAGGAGGAGGAAGGGGAAACTCCACTCTCACACAGGGTATCCTCTCACTATTGCATATGTGTAGCCCTTAATCAAGAGGTAAATATGCCTGACAGTGTCTCCTGCAGCCAGAGAGCCAGGGACGTAAATCTATCTGCAGCAAACTCACTGCCAAATCAAGTGTTATCCACAAAAGTATCAACTAAGGTTTCTTAAACTCAAACATGAACAGCAACCCTTTACTGTCAAATTTTCACAATGACTGTAATGACGAAAGAAGACTGAAGAACTGATGGCCTTGAATTCGGGTGCTGGTAGAGAATAGTGAACATATTAGCGATTTCCAGAAATCTAACAAATCTATCTTGGAATTAGTACAACTAGAATGTTCCTCAGGAACAAGAACGGAGAACCTTTATATCATGAACTTTGGACATGCTACAGGAGGGACAGGATGCTTGGGAGAGGGTCAGTGCAAACTAAGAAGCCCCTCGATGTGATGGATTCATCCAGTGGCGGCAGCAGTGAGGTCAAACACCACACCACCAGTGAGGATGGGTCTAGTGTCCACAATCACTGAGTCAAGACTAATTCCACAGCACATCAACTTCTTGCAGAATGTTCTATTTACAAAGGTCAACAATTCTGTGAAGGTTTAGTGGTGGTAGTCAGACATTTATCATGTCTGAGGGCACAAGCTAAACAGGAGAACTGGGCTAGGAGCCTAGTTCCAAAGGATTCCAAAGCCTGGCCTTTCTTTTTATACATATGCTGACTGACTTGGTCATCAAGCCTTTGTATTTTTTTTGTTACCATCATTACTCCCCAGCTCATGGTAACTGCTATTCTACCTCTGTCTATACGCATCAGCCTATCTAGACCTTTTACGTAAGAGTATACACTATTGGTCTGGCTAATTTCACTTATAATTTCACAGATTTATCAAAATTTCATTTTACAGATTTTTCAAAATTTTATTTCTATTCCTGACTGAGTACTATCCCACTGTATGTAATCTATGACATCTTTACCCATTTGTCTGCTGATCTGCACTGTGACTGTTTCCACCTCTTGACTCCTGTGAAAAATGTGGCCTTGAATATTTTGCTCAAATATCTATTTATGTTCCTGTTCTCTTTTGGGAAACTGGATTACTGGGTCATATTACGGGGTGCTGTTATTAGGTGTGGCTGTGTTGACTATAACTCAGTGTTGTTGTTACATGCCACTGAGTCTCGTACGACTCGTAATGACCCTATGAACAACAGATCTGAATGAACCTTGTCCTGCGCCATCCTCACAATCTCTGACACTTAAACTCATTGCTGCAGTCACTGTGTCAACCTACCTGGTTCAGGGTCTCCCCCTCCTATGCACTATGACTCATAGCGACCTTACAGACACCAGATCTGAACCTTGCCCTATCCTGTGCCAGCCTCATGGTCTCCAACATGCTTGAGCCCACTGCTGCAGCACTGTGTTGAGGACCTTCCTGTCTTTCACCTTTCTCAATAAGATGTCTTTTTCCAAGGACTGAACCCCTGACAACACACCCAAGTGCGTGAGACAACGTTTCGCCATCCTCGCCTGTCACTGCCTCACTGGCCTCTCAGTGACCTTCCAGACCAGAGGAGAACCGCCCCGCGGGGTTCCAAGGCTGTAATGACTACAGAAGCAGACTACTACGCCTCTCTGCAGCACGGCTGTTGCTTCAAACCACCAACTTCTCCGTTAGCAACTGAATCAACTCTGTGGGAATGGTGCAGTTCTCACGGATTAAACTGTGTCTCCTAAAAACACATGTATGTAATGATATCGTGAGCTCTGGCGGACTAGTGGAAAAAGGCTGTGCTGCAATTCCAAAGGCACGCAATTCAAATCCACCAGATGCTCAGTGGCAGAAAAGCGGGCAATCTCCTCTCATGTGATTATCTGACTCTGGAAACCTGCCAGAGGGTCAGCTATGAGTCAGTTCTAATTCAATCGTACACAACAGCAACAACAATGATATGGTGTGATTCCAAGATCTGATAAACCACAGGGTTATGAAACTAAACACCCTTCAGTCTCATCATAGTCCTGGTCAGACAGGAGGGATGATTCCTTAGGGTGTGGCCAGTAACATCTTTATTTTGCAAGAGATAAAAGAGGAGAAAAGTGAACCAAGAGTGGGAACCCAAGTTTCACCAAAAAATAGTGGGCAGGACTGGAGTGCGTTTGGCCTCATGTGCCTACACTGGGAAGCTCCTGGGTCTTAAAAAATTTGAGATCTGTCATCAAAGGTGTAACTATTAGTCTCTCCTCACCCAGAGTAAAGAAGAGGGAGTAATATCAAGGATGCATGGAAACTTAATTGTCCAAAGGACTGATAGACTAAGTAGACTTCAGCCTTCTTAACCCCGAGACAAAAAATACCTATAGTATCCAGCCACCACTGTGGAGCACTTGGAAAGGGACCACAACAGATGGCACCATAGAGGAGGATGAAAATGGGAGACTCAAAGTCATTACCAACACCGGGCTTCCTGGTCAAAGAGAGGCTGGTGTGACCCTCAAAACACTGTCCTCAGCCACCCTTCAAGTCTAGAATGGAAATCAGATTCGTTTATCATGGGAGTCTCAGTACTAGAGAGACAGGCACTTGAGATCAAAAAACCAGCATCTGATCAATGAAAATGTGTAGAAATCAGGAAGGGCCGGGAGAAAGGGAAGAGTGGAAACCAGAAACCTAAGGGTGAAAGGGGACAAGTGAGGTTATATGGTGGAGATTTCAATTAATGCTATGAAACAAATTAGATATGACAGGTTGGAAAAGTAACTATAAATCTTGAAATTACAACTGAAACAAAAAGAAGGAAAAACCTGATTATTGAGGGTTCAAAGAACATTAGAGATGTCTTCAAAAACACAGGGGTGAGGCATTCAAGGTTTAAAGAATTTCAACCAAGGACCACAAAGCATGGACTGAATAAAAGCTGTCATGAAGCACAGATGATGTTAGAAAGGAGGCTAAGGAGGTAAAGGGGGCATTTGGAGGGCACTGTGAACACCACACACGGGACGGGGAGCATGGAGGTGCCATGAACACCAAGCAAAGGGTCGGGGAGAACAGGGTGGGGGTGTGGGTCGGGGAGAACAGGGTGGGGGTGTGTGCCATGAACACCATGCACAGGACGGGGAGCACAGGGGCACCATGCTGTGAACACCACACACAGGTCGGGGAGCATGGGGGCGCCGTGAACACCAGGTACAGGGCTGGGGAGCAGGGAGGCGCTGTGCTGTGACCACCACACACGGGGCGGGGAGCACAGAGGTGCCATGAACACCATGCACAGGATGGGGAGCACGGGGGTGCTGTGAAGACCATGCACAGGGTTGGGGAGCAGGGGGGTGCCATGAACACCACGCACAGGATGGGGAGCGCAGAGTGTGGAGTCCTCAAGGGCTACTGAGCCTGAGAGCGGCAGGAGCAGCCCATCAAGTATTATAATGTAGCAAAGGGAGAGGACATGCCTGAAGGACGGTGGGGCAGAGGCCAAAGCAACTGTCAAAGAGCAAGGACAAATAGAAGACTTTTTCCTCTGATACCGAGAAACCAGAGTACACTATTTTGACATTTTAGGTTTATAAAGAACAATTTTACTTTTTAAATTTTACTTTATTTGTGTGTGTGTGTGTGTGTGTGTGTGTCTACCATCAAATTAAATCTTACTGGTACAGGAGGAGATTGCCCCTCCTTTTCCAGTAGAGCATCTGGTGGATTTGAACCATGTACCTCAGGGATTGCAGTGCAGCTTCTTGCCACTTTGCCAAGCAGAGCTTCCTCAAGAATAAATTTTTTTATTGTGAATTGATAACTAGAAGCAAGAGTTAGCCGAATTACCAAAGAATCTAGTGGGAATGGAATTTAAGGGAGTTTGTGTTTTATAAATTAAAGCAGTGGCTTAAGTCCAGCAGAGAGTCTGAGGATGCCACAGGATTGGACAGTTACATGCAACCATTAGAGGGTAATTCTGAGTCAAATTCAACTCCATGGGACCCAACAAAAACTGATACGCAAGTTTTCAGGGCACAGGCTCCACACCGAGGCTGTATGGAATTCTCTGCTCTACCATTTGCTGTCTCATCTTGGGCAGGTTATCTAAACTCTTCCTACACTGGATTCCTGCTCTTTAAAATAACCTTAATAGTGCTTAGCTAATAGGATTGTCATTAAAAGGCTTAACCAGAACCTCAGACCTTAGTTTGCTCATATACATTTAAAGATTCACAGTGTTAGAGACACAGTGAGGGGGTCTCTATGAGTCGGAACCAACTTGACAACAGTGGAATAATTTTACAAGTAACTATGTTACCTTTTAATAATCACAACCCAAATAAAATTATCTAAAGTAACACCACCAGAAAACACAGGTATTACTTATTATTAAATGTGCAAAATTATGTTCAAAAGGAAAAGGTCATGACAGCACTTCATTCTGAGTCTCTTCTGAACGCTGCATCTGCGATACAGCCGTCCTCCAGGCTGTGAGAACATGATCTGTAAAAGGTCTCTGTCCTCAGCCAGATACACAAAAGATACCAAATCTGGAAAACAGTTCTACCTAACTGATTGTCAATTGAGCAAATTCTATTAAAAAAAAAGTCCAAGAGTATAACACTATTTGTAGAATTATTATTTCAAAGAGAATAAGATCCTAGTACAGGTAAGGCTTTATCTGCACCATACATTTGCTTTTTGTTAGAGATCTATATAGCTTTTACTAATGAAAACACAACTTTCTGGATAAGAAGGAATAGATACAAATCACACCATATATAAGAGCTCAGAGACTTACCACTTGGGTACAATGAATCTGGAGGTTGACCAAAATGCTTTCCTTTCGGAGGATAACTTGATTTGGACATGTAGCTGGCTTTTCCAGGTCGGTTTATTGGACAATTGTGACCATGTGGATTCCTTCTATAGCAGAAATTAAATCGTTATTTTCCTTGATCCATTTATCCATGATAAATGTTATTCTTTTTAAAAGCCCAAATTATACCCAATTAATGCATTCACCTGACATTTCTTGGATTCTGTATCTCATGATCCATTTAACATATGACAACCCTCAATAAATTATCTTTGTACTCAATACATCGCAAGCAACTCAACGGCACATAACAACACTAACATACTATGACAGCTCTGGAAGCAGGGGTGGCGTCCACTTCCTAAACAACATGCCTCTGAAAACTCTACGGACTCTGATAAATGTTGACAGTTGTTAGAGGGGTGTCAGGCCTTTTGTTCATAGGGTCACTAAGAGTCATGCTAGACTCGAAGGCAATCAACAACAACAACCCCAATACTTTAAACTCTTTCTTAAAAAAATATTGTTTTCAGTTATTTTGCTATCCATTTCATGTTTTCTGTGTCCTCAGTGGTAACTTAAGTATTTATACACTACTCAGTTCTAGAAAGGTTCTGAGGGGTGGCACTGCAGGGGTTTTGAGTAAACTCTAAACTACACATTTGTGACCTGACTATGTCACGATCAGATGGCAATAATTCCTGTAGACTCTTAGGTCAAAGTCTTATGTTTATAATTCTAGAATTCCCGGTCAGTCCCCATTATTTGCGGAATTCTCTATGTGTGAACAAGAGTGAGATAAACAAAGAGCAACAATCCCCAGCTGAGCTTGAGCAAGGCTGGCTTGGTATTCGACACCTCAGTGCTCACGGGACTTTATAGAAGAATTATTAGCAGTACTAAGAATTGACTGCTATTTTTTTAAATTTAGTACAATCTTGAATAAAAGAACATTTGTTATTCCTTCCTCCAATGTTTCTTTCTTTTTTTTTACTGCTATGTTTTACAAAATTATTCAGTGCCAATTCAGATTCATTTTCTAGTTGCCCAAGAGATGTAACTTGTATGTGCTTGCCACATATAAGAAACTTTACCCTTTTCTTAAGAACGTGGTGAATTTTATACTTTTTTAGATTATATTGGGGATCATTATTTTTTAAGACTACTGTGTCTAATTAATTGCTATTTGACAGACTCACATTAAAACCTTATCGGTGTCATTACAGTGAAGGTAGGGTAGTTTGGATTTAAGATTAAACCTAGAAGAGACAGCATCTACCATGAAACCAGCCTAACCAGAGAGGCTGAGGGAGAAGAGCAGAGGAAGGAGCAGGAACTGGTTAGGGAGAAGAGAGGATGACACATGGAAATAAGAAAGGAAAGTAGAAGACAAATACAGACACAGAGCTTCACAAACACACACACACAGACACACAAAGACACACACAAAGACAAATACAGACACAGATGCTTAGAGAAGGACATCATGTTCAGAAGGGTGTAGGGATAGCGCAGGAGAGGGAGACTGCAGATGAGATGGACTGGTAACAGTACAGGAGCAATGCGGATTGGTGTGTTGGGTCAGTGAGACTGGCTCAGGACTGGGCAGGCTTCAGAGCTGCTGTACACATAGCTGTGTTGCTATGAGTCACAGGCGACTCAATGGCACGTAAGAACAACAGTAAGGGCGGGGTGAACCCCACACTTGATAGCTGCTAGCCGAAAGGTTGGAATTTTAAGTTCACCCAGAGCTGACTCTTAAGCAAGGCCTGGTCACCCAATGCTGAAGAGTCAGTCGTAGACCCTGTGCAGCAAAGTTCTGCCTTGACAGACTTGGGATTATCCTGAGTTGAAATCCACTTGTTGGCAACTTTTTTAAAATGGCTGAAAAATCTAAGGAGATTCTATTACTACTAGCTGGCCCTGTCATCTTGAGCTTCCTGACCTCAGCTTCTCCACCTGTCATATGGGAGTGGCCACAATGAGGCTGCCTACCTTCACGAGTGTGCTACAGTGAGGCTTGATAAAGGGAGCAGACCAGCATACATGGAACAACAATACACAGATAGTAACAAAAACTATAGAAAAAAAAATGCAGGCACAGATGATAATAAAGACTATAGGAAAAAAGACACAAATTACAACAACTCTACTGAAAAAACACAGACCTAGATAACCAAAACTACAGATAGAGATGACAACAAAACTACAGGAAAAAATACACACCCGTATGGTAACAAAAACGACAGAAAAAAACACAGCAAGACTGAAGAGATCTCAAAATACTACCTGAAATACTGAAATGCTTTGTTTTCTCTAAGACTGACTTTAATGCTACTTTTGCCTTTTGTCTTGGTGATTCTACACATTTATAGAGACTTCATGACTGTTGGATGACTTCCCCATTAGGATGGAGCATGGGAAGATGCAGGCACGATGGACACAGCTCCCAGTACTGCCTTCATTCCCAGGACTGAAGTTACATTGCCCAATCTTCACTCACTGCCTCCAAGTCGGAATGAACACACAGCTGACCCTATGATGGGTTTCTAAAGCAGTAAATCACATGCAAGCGGACTGCCCACCTTCCTCGGAGTCTTTGGTGGGCCAGCTCCTGGATTATGAATGCAATTCCCTACAGACCAGACCAGCAGATTTTCAAAATCTGTTCTACCTGTTGGAGCCAGGGGAACGCTGTGATCTGGAAACTTGACATGCTCGGGGTTTCTTCAGCGATGGTTTCTGTGCAGCTGCTGGTAGTGGTACTGATTCAGACAACAGTTCATTCATCAGACTGTATGCCTGTGAGATTCTACGACTATAGTGATCAGAGAGTAGCAACCTTGGGACCAAAAAATGAAACATTATTTACTAAAGGCTAGACTTTCAGTCTACCCTTCCAGAGGGAATTAAGAGAACCAAGCATTTACTTTTAACAGTGTTTTTCCAAACTACTTTTGTTAGATGTTGGGAAAGTATTAGGCAACACTGTTAATAGTACTTTCAAGTATTTGGAATTTCTCAAATACAAGTACATGGTAAGGGTGGGAGATGAATGGGAACAGTCCTGAAATGTATTTGAAAATAAATTTCTTAAAAGGTAGTGAGTAATTTATTCCCTTTGTAGTAATTTGTCCCATAATGTTCTGCTCAGTGACCAAAAAAGGGACAATTTTGAAAAACAGAACTATTAAGGCACTCAGTGTTCCACAATCACCAGCTACCCAACAAGAGAGTCTGTTGCTGTAAAGATTACACACCTCTCATTACTGATATGATTGGCTTTTAAAGCCCAAGTGCACAGAAATTAACCATATGTGAAAGCAGAGGATGATATGTCAGATCAAAACCAGAGTGTAACTACCCCATAACACAGATGCCAAATGCATCACTGTTTACTACTGAGCCACTGAGAACCATGGCCCAGCCAAGTGAACACGTAATCTGAGGCATACAGCCAGAGCTAATTTAGCTTCTACCTCAGCATTCGTTAGTGCTGGATAGGTGTTGTGAATGCGTACAGGTGGAATCTCAGAAAACAAAACAGTTGGCCTGGGAGGAGGAGGTACAGAGTCTTGGAAACCTTGCAGTTCTACTCTGTCCTAAAGGGTCACTATGAATTGGAATTGACTTACTGGCAAGTGGTTTTGTTCATGTAAAGGCATTATCTGTGCATAGAGTGAACAAACTAAAGAGAGAGCTTGAAGCAGCTAACAAACTCACCTGTCCTTTTCATGCTTCATCTTCTGTCTTAGCCTGATTTCCCGTGAAGTCATATAAAACTGCACAAGGAATATCCAGTTAGTTCATTATTGTTTAATCAAATAATGAAATCACTGTAATTCATGCAAACAAGAATTTCCACTGATCAATTCTGACAGGAAGAGGTGAAAACATTATGTTGGTATTTTGTTATGTGCCACAGAGTCACCTGTGACTCACAGCAACCCTATGGACAACAGCTGTGAACTCTGCCCTGTCCTAAGCCAGTCTCACAGACTCTGACATACCTACCCCCATTACTCCAGTTATTGTGTCAATCCATCTTATCTGAGGTCTTCCTCTCCTGCTCTGTCCCTCCATCCATCCAAGCATAATGTTCTTTTCCAAAGACTTGTCTCGCTTGTCCACATGCCCAAAGCATGTGAGACGGAGCTTCAAAATCCTTGCCTCCAAGTAGAAACTTGGTTTCATCCTCTCCAAGACAGACCTGTTTGTTATGTTTTCTTGGCAGTCCATGGCATATTCAAGACTCTTCTCTAGCGCCACAACTCAAAGGCATCAATTCTTCTTCTGTCATCCTCAGAATTGTCTAGCTCTCTGATGCACACAAGTAACTGAAAAGACCATGGCCTAGATCAGGTATACCTTAGTCTCTAGACTGATAACAATGCTTCTCAGTTGTCTGGAGAGGCTACTGACAGCAGACTTTCCCACTGCAGTTCATCCTTTGATTTCCTGACTGTTAGTGCCAAGAGTGTTGATTGTGAAGCCAAGCAAGCTGTAATTATTAACAACCTCAATCTCTTATGCATCTATCATGGTGCTGCCAGTTGGCCCAGGGGTGAGAATCTTTCTCTTCATGATGTTGAGCTTTAACGCATATTGAAGACTACAGTTCAGTTGTAATTTTGGTATTCAGAAATGGTAAAAAAATGCATATTTGATGAAGCTTCCTACCCAAGCACAAAACATGAAAATGTTAAATTGACGAACAGTGTAATTTAAAACTCAGTAATTGGGATGCAAAATCTACTTTCCTGAGGAAATGTGTTTTCTCGAAAGTGGAGAACATTATCAGGTGCGTTTGAAATGAAAAATAGAAACACCTGAGAGATAAAGACACACAATACAGATGCAATACTTAAAACTTAATACACTTTTGTGATTAATCTCACCAAAAGCTTAGTTGACAAAGCAGAAATGAATCAGACATTTAAAAGACTTCTAAAGTTACATTTTTAATATATTTTTAACACTAAATTTTTCTGTTTAATTTTTTTAAATTTATTTTAATGAACATTTACAGAATTTTTGGATTTCTATTCATTCATTATTGCATTTTTCTGCTTAACAAAAACCTTGGACAATGCTCTCACTATGATTTATAAACACTGCAAAACTTAAGCACCATCAGATACTCAGATACACCAACAAAGGCCATAGAAAACCTATCTACCACTATAGAACCTGCAGTTATTGGAGGGAGTTATATGAAGTTTAAGTCTTTCCATATGTAACTGTGAATCTAAAAGCAAGCACCCTGAAGTGAATTCATTTTGCCAAGGACCTACTCAGAAGCAGTAAAAATTAAAAGTCTCATCCATTTCTGATGGAAAAGGACAGGCAGAATGTACGGTGCGTCTGTGCTATGTGTGGCCATCGAGTCCACCCCATCCCCTGGGACCTCACGTGAGCAGGCTGGCAGTGCTCCTCAGGTTTTGCAAGGCTACAAAGCCGATCAGCAGGGCTGTCTTCCAAGGTGCCTCTGGGTGGACTTGAACTCCCAAACCCATTCAGTTAGCAGCTGAACATCTAACCATCTGTACCACCTAAGAACATCTTAAACTATATTAATCTTCACACTTTAACTTATATTCATTCCATAAGGGGGTGATCTGATAGTGCAGTGGTTACAGTGCTTGGTTTCTATCCAGAGGTTTGAACCCCCCAGTCACTCACAGGAGAAAGATGTGGCAGTCTGCATTTCCAAAGTCCAGAAGCCCCATGGGCAGTTCTACTCAGTCCTAGGGGTGCTATGAGTCAGAATCAACTTGAATACAATGGAATTAGTGTGTTGTGTTTTTTTTTTATTTTGTGTGCATGTACCGTCAAATCAGATCTGACTGGTACAGGAGGAGATTGCTCCTCCTTCTCCGGCAGAGCATCTGGTGGATGCAAACCGTGTACCTCTGGGATTGCAGTGCAGCTTCTTGCCACTAGGCCACCAGAGCTCCCCTTGTGTTTTGTTTTTTAATGTAAGTAAAATGTTGACTGTTATTTCTTTCAAATGAAAAATGCATTCAAATTATGTCAGTATTCTTCCTTTCCCTGAATACTGTATTGGTGCCAGTCTCATGACCCCTGACGTGCTCAAGCCCACTGCTGCAGGCCCTGTGCCAATCCATCTTGTTGAAGGTCTTCTTCTCTCTGACTTTCCACCTTTTCCAGCATTCTGTCTTTTTTCCCCAGGACTATTCCCTCCTGACAACATGCCAAAAGTATGTGAGACAGTTTCACTATCCCTGCCTCTAAGGAGCACCCTGGCTGCAATTCCTCCAAGACAGACATGCTTGTTCTTACGGGATAGGCATTACTCTTCACGAACACCACAACTCCAAGACACATTATTTTTCTGTCATCCTTATTCACGGCCCAACTTTCAGATGCACAGAAGGCAACTGAAAACAATCATGGCTTTGATCAGGTGCCTCAGTCTCTCAAATAACCGCTGCTCATTAGCCCTTTGGAGAGTTCCTTGACAGCAGGTGTTTCCCTCCCCCGCAACACTGTTTTGATTTCTTGACTAATGCTAACATGGGTGTTGATTGTGGATTTTTGTTATTAGTCAGGGGGAGGGAAAAACTCTACACCTAGCCTTGGTCAAGCATGTCAGAGATGATGATGTGTCACATATGATAATTCAGGGTTCATAGGGTCACTATGAGTCATTCTTGACTCAAGGGCATTTAACAACAAACAACAGTCTCTGATAATTCCGTTCCCTTTTGTATTAAACACTTACTGGATGGTTCCGGGGACAGAAAGGATCATGCTCTTGCCCTCTCTTTTCTGCAAGCTGATTTAAGTACTCTGCCATTCTTTCTTTCTGTTTTCTTTTCATCCAGGTGCGGATCTCTCTTCTCTCCTTCTCAGTTCTTTGCGGACGTCTGCCAGAAGTGTGGTGAATCCTGACAAAGTGAAGAGATGGGGGATTTACACACTTAGACTTGTTATCACAGTAAATATAATTATTTGGGGAGATTATAGCCATCTTGAAAAGCAGTATAAATTTAGGATCTCTTAACCTGTTACTCTAAGTTACTAAAAATATTCTCAGAAAGGTCACCAACGGCCTTTTCAGTCTTCAGTTTACTGCACTCTAACATCTGACACTATTGATTTTCCTTCTGTTTTAAACTCATTTTTTTAAGGTAAAAAAATAAAGATAGATTTATTAGAGTATTACATCCTAAAGGGATGGATCTCTCTCCTTGAAAGGGAGAGAGGCCTAACCTCACTCTTATATGTCTCTTTTACTAACTCTAAAAACACTGCTTAGCTTCCTACTCTCTAGACCTAGTAGTTACAGGACGCTTCCCATGGCCTGGCTAATGACTTAGACTGGTGGCAGTAAGACGACAGGCCCATGTCTTTGGACCTGTTACTGAGACTCGGCCTTCAAGTCTTGCTATCGACCTGGACAAAACTATATTAGAACTGCATCACAATTGGAAACACTTTCCACATAATCCCCTTTCCTTAATCTCCTCTTGAAAGGAATCTGTACAGAACAAGGTTTCCATGCTCTCTGGATGAGGCCTGCTCACTGGGTCAGTTTTTGGCTGGTACCTGGGAACTTGGATTTCAGAAAGTTCCCATCACTCCTAAAACTGAGAAGAGTGGCGCACTGTCCCTACACCATTTGCACAACCAGTGTGGCTTATGCACAACATTTGCTCTCCTTCTGGGAGTCTGGAGCCTGGCAAGTGGTAAACAGAGGCCTCTAGGTACTGTTCCCAATAAACACCTTGCACTGAGTCTCAGATGAGTTTCTCTGCTCGTCAGTATTTGATTCCACTGAGAAAAGACCCTCAGAAACCTGTCTAGTGTCCTCTGACTTTGCCACACGGTGCTTCATCTCGTTGCTGTTTTCCTTTGACCTACATTCCAGACACGAGTGTGGATAAGATGTGGAGCCTGTGAGTGTTCCTAGCCACACAGCAGCCTGGGGTGATGTCAGAGCTGCCTAGTGCTGGGTCAGATTCCGGATGCACTGCAGTCTAACAGCTGTCTCAGACTCCTGTCTCCCTCACAGGCATTTCTTCACATAAATCTCCATGCTTTGAAATTCTATCTTGGTACTTCTTAGAGGACCTACAACTAAAGTCCCAGTGAACCTTTTCAACTGAATGCTCTTCAAGCACCTTCCAGCCCTAACACTACTTGGCAAAGATATCACCATCAGCTCAGCCTTCCAAGTAGAAAAGCTGTAATTCCCACTCCTTCCTAACAGCTCAGTCTTGCTGTCTTGCACCCTGAGATCCGAGCTACCCTACCTCTAGGCTACTCAAGTCAGCCCTCTGCCTGCCAGTCTTCATGGTCTTTACCAACTCATTCCACTGAGTAAAATTGGTTTGTTTTTATTCCAATTCTTGACATTAAAATACTGATGAATAAATTAATAAAATGATCACCCTTAAAAATAAAAAGACAGAAGACCAATTTCTACATCTGTGACCAAAAGTAATTGTGTCTGACAAGAGAGGTATGGTCTATATGATCTTGACAATGAAGTTAAAATACAGCAGATAACCTCATTAATCAGGGTTTTTTGTAGTATCAACCTTGCAAGTACAACTATGCTACATTTCCTTGAGATAGAGAGACATGAACTACGTGTAAAGAAACATAGCTTGCTAGTCACAGGGTTGACTGACAAACATTGCCAAGAGGAACATGCATTCAGGGAAACATCAGGAGCAGAATGGACCATCATTCAAACAGGCCCAGGAAGCGTGGCAAGAAAAAATATTTCAACTAGAGTTCCAGGAAAGGCTATTTAAAATTTACACCAAGGATAAATATTTATAGTACTTAAATCATTAATTACCTCTAAGAAGAAATGTTGTTGTTATGTGCAGTCAAGTCACCTGTGATTTATAGTGACCCTAAAATAGGATTAAATTTATGTTATTTGCAGACTGATGAGGTCTCTCAAGCTACAGATGTAGTATATTAGGCAATTAAACCAGTCTGCAGGCTGTTGCGTCTGCTGCAGAAGGTCAAGGACTACAGTCTTTAATGTGGATTAAAACTCAACATCAAGAAAATGAAGACTGTCACCACTGGACCAATTGGAAGCTCATGATAGAAGGAGAAGAGACTGAGGTTGTTAAGAATTACAGCTTGCTTGGCTCCATAATCAACATTTTTGGCAGCCAGGAAATCAGTAAGAATTGGATTAGGAAAGTCTACTGTTAGGATCTCTCCAGAGTGCTGAAGAGCAAAGATGTCATTTAGACACTAAGGTGTACCTGAGCCAAGCCATGACCTTTGCAATTACTTGCCATGTATCACAGAGCTGGACAATAAGGATGACAGAAGAATTAATGCCTTTGAGTTGTGGTGCTGAAGAAGAGTACTGAACATAACATGGACTGCCAAAAAAAATAACAGGTCTATGCTGGAGAGGGTGAAACCAGTTTGCTCTCTGGAGGCAAGGATTTTGAAGCTCTGTCTCATATATACTTTGGACATGTAGCCAACAGGGGCCAGTCTTTGGAGGAGAGGACATCATGCTTGGAAGGGTGGAGGGATAATGCAGGAGAGACAGATCCTGGATGAGACTGATTGACACACTGGCTAGGGTAACAGGGGCAAATGTGCTGGAGACAGTGAGATGGGCTCAGGATAGGACAGTGTTCATGGTTACGGTGCATAAGGTTGCTGTAAGTCTCAGGCAACTTGACAGTATTTAACAACAACATAGGCTGTTAGAGAAAGGAGGAATGAAACACAAATATCACCAAATGTACTTGAGAAGAAAAGTATCTTCCGTACTTGTAACTTTTTCCATAAAATAACATTAAAACATGGCCAATTTTGAGCATTCTTAAAGTACAAAACATTTCAAAAGAGACAAAATTTCATTATTCTCTCATTACCTAGAGATAGTCTTAGCCTGATGTTCTGTTAAGCCAAGTTCTTCACTGGAAAGTCCATCTTTTGTTATAAGGTCATCAATAATGTCTGCAATATCAGTCAATCCAGTCATCTGCAGTGGTTCTGCTGAAACACTTCATTAACAAATGGAATTTGAAAAACATAAGTCAGCATATACAACTTAATTATATTATGTGGGGGGAAAATGCACATTTTAAACTATAACCTCCAGAAATACAAAATGAGTCTCAAGAGACAAACTTATCTACTTTTTACTCTATTTCTGTAATTGCCTCCTTTCGGTAAATCTGACTAAATTTCAAGGGAAAACAATGAATGATGGTAGGTACTCTAAACAAAATCAAACAAGATCCAGGAGATGAGCTCTACAGGCCCTGTGTGCTGAAATTCAAAATACATTTGGTAAACACAAACGTAATAAAAGCAGTCTATTGTAACTGTCTATGATAAAACAGTAAGAGAGATAATAGAACAAATCTTAGTTTGAATCTGATCCCCAACTGAAATTTATTATATTCTTTAGATTACTGAAAGATGAGTAACAAAGAATTTCATACACATAAGAACATCATTTCCACAACCTATCATTTATGCCCAACTTTTAGTAAAACAGAGTTAAAATCTTTCAGATATTTACCTCTCAAATAATTCACCACTGTTATTCATACCTTAAAAAAAAGGGGGGGGGAAACATTAATAAAAATCCCAAGGCAGTAATGTTTTGTTCTTTCCTTTACTCACACAATTATTATGCAAGCAGAAATGGAGCTATTTGGGGGCTTTTGGCCTTAACCTGCTCCTGGTATTACAATGAAAGTTCTGAACTACTTGCATCTCATGGGCCTGAGCAGAGCAGAGCTGGGGAGGAAAGAGCAGGACAGGGCAAGGTTTGGATCTGCTGTTTAGAGGGTCGCTGAGTCATAGTCAACTTGACAGCATCTAACAACACTTACTACTCAGTCTTATGGAAGCACATGGACTGCTAATCCTTGTCAATCTCTAATCCAGACTCTGCTCACTTGTTGTTACTGAGAGGCCCCCATGCTCATTGTTGTTGCTGTGTACCATAGAGTCAGAACTGACCCATAGCTCCAGCGGGTTTTCAGAGGCAGTTAATCGCATGGGAAAAAGACACCCCCATCCTTCTGCAGAGCAGCTGGTGGTCTCTAACCACTTGTCTTCGGGGCTGCAGCACAGCTTCTTGTAACTAGGCCACCAGGGCTCCTCTATGCTCATTAGTGGGTGGCATTTAATAAGACTGGACCCTGGCTTTTTTCGGGGTTTTCCCCCCACTTATTCTCACAGAGAACAGAGGTACTCTGTGAGCTTTAACTATCTAATTAAATGAGAGGCACTTAGATGTGTTTTCAGGCCTAACCTTGTCATCCGAGCTCTGATACCAAGCTTAACACTGTGCTGGCCATCACTTTATACTGCTAGATTTGGACTCAAAGCGCTTTATAGTAGGACAAGAGACCTAGTCATTCACCTAACTTTGATAACACTGAACAATATTAATTTTCTCTTCCTTTTTCATCCACCTAGTAACTTACTTCTGTCAGTATCTCACTCAGAACATCTCTTGTACCCTGTGCTCTTCTTTTTCTTTCCCACAACACTGTTTGTTATTATTGTTAGGTGCTGTCGTGTCGAGTATGACTCACAGAAACTCTGTGAAGGATAGACTTAAAAACCACATCTATCCTGTGCCATCCTCAACTCCAGTTCACTCGAGCCTATGCTGTAGTCACTGTGTCTATCAATCACTCTGAGTGTCTTTTTCTCTTTCACTGACCCTCCACCTTTCCAAGCATGATGTCCTCCTTCAAGGAATAACTTCAGTCTTCACAACATGCCCAAAGTAGGAAGCTCTCATTATCTCACACATAAGAACTGTTTAACAGCACATACTTCCAGTATGCTCGTGCTGCTTTTGTAACGGTGGAGTTGATTCCAGCTCATAACAATCCTAGAGGGTTTCACAGGCTGTGATTTTTATGGGCACAGACCACCAAGCCTTCTTTCTCCCATGGGTCTGAGCCTCTCACCTTGTGATTACTAGGAAAGTGCGTAACAGTTGTGCCACTTGCTCCTGGCTTCCTCGAGTCTACACTCTTCACCTCAACTCTCCAAGTTTAGCTAGAAACCTACTATCTAAACTTCTCCCATGCCATTAGACCCAGCTACAATTAGCTCAATTAGGGGGTAAAGGTTTAATCAATGACAGCCATTATTTTATCTTCAGATTAAAATTCAAAGTTCTCACAACTGATAAGAGTTTTGATTTCTCTAGTGAAAATCAAATACTACAGTATTTCTAATTGCGTGCATTTAAAATTTCCTACATTGTAGGGATATGAAGCCTGACTATAGGCTATATGAAAGTGTCAAGATGACCTACTACTTTATTAATAATAGGAAAACCTATTGCAAATACTAAGTTTTCAATATCCACTAATATATGGGGGGCGGGGGAAGAGAATCTGTACCTATCTTCCCAGTGAATAGGACAATTACTAAATTCTCTTCTAAAATTACTAGCTATGAAAAATGTCGTCATAAACACTTCATAACTGTTTTGAGATAATATGCTTGAGTGACATCACAACAGTAAATGGGAGTGGAAAGGACTTCAGGGAAAAGCAATACCAGTGGACAGAGTGTTCGGGTCAGTGGAGAGGCTGAGAGCAGATACGGCTGAAGGAAACGTGCTTGCTTTCTGATGAGAGTACTTTTCTTTCACGGAGAAGTCAGCTTCTGAAGTCTTGTCTTCATCACTCTGGTCTTCTTTATCCATCTGAGTCTGGAAATTCACTAAGTGAAAGCATATAATGCAATTAAAAAACCCCAACACAACACATGGAAAAACATGTATCAACTAGTTAACACCTCTAGAGGCAACAAAGATACATTAGAAGCATGCAACATAGGTTGATTGCTTTCTACTGCACAATGAACTAATTTAACATAAAAACTAAGACAAATATTGAAAGTTATAAAAATAAAAGTTTACTAGTAACTTCAGGAAAACACTGAAATAAAACAGACAACTCCGAATTCTGCTACAGAAATACAGAGATGCAACATTTTATTAAAAAGTCAAGAACAAAAACCAAGCCTTTGACCTCTTCAAGAACAGACAAAGCAAAGGATGGTGGTGGTGGCTGTTCAGTACCACTGAGTTGGCTCCCACTTACAGTGCCCTCTTGTCCAACAGCATGAAACACTGCCATTCCTGCCTGCAGGCCTGTGTCTACACATTTCAACAAGTGTCTTCTCTTTTCACTGACCCACTATCAGGCATGATGCCCTTATCAAGGAACTGGGCTGGGGCATGGAACCTCCATTCTGGGACTTTGGCTGTTTGGCTGCATCTGACGGCAGTCCTGATGGGCACATGATAGAGGGTTTTTTTTTTGGGGTCGTGTCTGATGTGTACTGCTGTTCTCTGCCCCTCAAGAGTGAGTGTCTGTGAGCCTTTGCCTAGCATGGAAGTCTGCTCAAAGGCGTTGGCTTTAAAACCCTGCAGGGCCCTTGGGCCTGCAGCCCTCAGGCCAAATTTAGTAATTTTCAAATGAATATTCCTTAAATGAAACAGTAATCTTTTGTCTATTTGCTGAACTGAACAACTTGGTGTTGTTATGATGTTGTACATTGTCCCATAGTATCGTCAAATACCATAACAGTAACCCATTATGTACAATGTTTAGATAAGCTTCCAGATTGATTTATGCTAGGAAGCAGAAGTGGTATTCACTTCCTAAACTAGTTGCCTCTGGAAACTCTACAAACTCTCTAAACTCTATAAATGTACAGAAATTATGTTAGTCTTAGAACAGAGTTCTGTACAGAAATGATGTTAGTTATAAAACAGAGTTCAGGTCTTCTGTGCAAAACTTAATCTCAGTCGTAATCGACTTGACAACACTTAACCACTGCTAAGTGACACTAGTGCTGTTTATATCTGAAGGAACACTCTTTGGAAATGACTCTTTGTCAATGTGCAGTATGAAGTAACCTGGGTTGCTGAGACGCTGAACCTTGTACCATTGGGGTATCAAATACCAGAATGGTTTCCCAATGTGGACAGTGTTTGGTGGAGCTCCCAGTTGTAAAACGGGTTTGGAAGCAGGAGTGGCTTCTACTTCCTAAACCACACGCCTCTGGAAACTCGATGAACTTGGAATTGATGATAGTTACGGCAAGACATTACGTCTTTTGTTCACAGAGTCACTGTAAGTTGCGCTTGACTTGACTCAATAAAAAACAACTACGGTATTGTTATGCTTTCAATGAGAACTAACCAAGTTACTATTTCATCACTGCTTGACAGTTTAACCATCACATTTCAGCTCAGTTGATAACTATGGACAAATAAGAACCTCAGCATAAAACTGAATGAGTGCGGTCATCTGAGAGTGAGGTCCAGAGCCCAGAGCCAAAGAAAGTAAGAGCCAGGTCACAGTGCCTCTTATGGTATAAAAGCCAACAACCGCTATAGCATTGCCTTCTTAGAACCAAAGGGGCTTGAGACAGGTGTCAATCACACAGTTTATCCTGAAAATTATCTTAATACAAAAATACAGAGCTGATGTCTACAGCTTCATGAGAACTATTTCTAGTTAATGCTACTCTAGAAGGTAGTGCTTACTCTTTCAGGTAAACAAAAGCAAGACCTGCCCCCACACAAACCTTCTTCAGAGATGCTGATGGTTTCTGAAGCCAGTGCTGTCTGCAATTCAGGGCCTGAAGATAATTTAATGTGATCCACTGGTTCAATTTGCTGGAAAAATAACAAAACTATGATTGTATTATTTATACCTTGATATTTTCAAAATTTTATCAGTCAAAATATTGTGAGCGATGAGATTAAATCCATCATGACCTAAAACAGGAAGGACATTTTTATTTATTATTACGTTACATGATTTAACCTTAGGAAAAGATTCACTGAAGTCAGAAAGCGGAGCAATCCAAAGATTTACCCACAGACAAATGGATCAATGAAACATGATATAGTCATACAATGTAATATTACTAAACTATAGAGATTAAATTCTAATAAATCTGCAACATAGACACACCTTGCCTCATGCTAAATAAACAAAGCAGATGTGAAAGGATAAATATTGTATGAGTACACGAACATAAAATATCTAAACTAGAAAAATGTGCAAACACAAGGTAGATCAGCAGCGACTAGAACAAAATGAGAGGGAGAGAAGAGTTACTGCTGAGGGGACACAAAAGTTCCTGCAAGGAATGACGAAAAATTTAGAAACATACAGCCATGACTACTGCACAGCAAGGGGATTACAATTAATGTCACTAAACTGAACAAATAAAAAGGGTGGAAATCGCAAATGTTTTCCAACATATATTTACAATAACATTTTTTTAATAGGGGAAAAAATGGGACAGAGACACAGAATCATATAATTTTATAAAAAGAGGAACTTTGGCTATCACATAGATGAAATAATTCATTTTGGCAACAAGAGAGAACAGCCCAGAGACATTCAGTGACTTCCTAGCATTAGAACAACGACTGAAGCCAGGTCTTCCAGGATCCTCAGTCTTTGGTCTCCAATCCTCTTCTTCCGCCCTCGCAGCTTACAAGACATTTTCTCAACTAAAGTGAACAGGTCAAAATCTTTGTATTTATGTGTGTAATATAACAGGATAATAGCACTCATGTAAGTCTGACATATTTGTCACATGAACTTTACTTCCTAAATATAAAGAGGATAGGATTTTCACAAAATTCTTTATTTTGAATGATTTTTAAAGATTCAGTGCAGAGACCTCATTACTTGGTCCTTTAAATAAAATACTAAATCCTG